CGCTGCCTTCTGTTATGTGTCATTACTGCCCCACCTGGCCCAAAGGCTTCCTCCTATGTCAGGAGGTCCGTGGACCTTGTCTAGACTGCCTTGACTCCAAGATACCTGTGCATATAACTTTGCCCGGTCTCCCCCAACCATACTGGCTAGTATGGAAACAGGAACCAAGTTTAAATCCATTTCTATGTCCTTAGGAACCAGCACTCAGCCTGGCCCAAAGAAGCTCAACAAATGGAGGAAGGATTATACTGAATTAAAGGCAAGGAGGCATTTGAGTCCATAAACAAGAGTTTAATTAGCCCTTGAGATTCTACAAGGAAAAAATAACCAGACTTAAAGGGCGCCCTCCTTCCCAAACGGAGTCCATTCCTGGGATTTAAAAGAGCAACAGGGCTCAGAGTGTTGAGGGTGAGTCCCCAGAAGGCTCAAGGAAGAGGCTAAAGGCTGAAAGCGGGAGACTTAATCCTTTTCAGCCGGGATCGGGGGACAGTTCCCCGACGTCCCCAGAACCCAGACCACACCAGCCCCGGGTGGTGGTCGGGAGAAGTGGCGCGGGCAGGGTTCTCGGTCTACTCACACCCAGGCAGCCGCCAACTCTTCCCTCTGGATCTCGGACACGCTCAGACCTGACACTGTGGAAAATCGCAGTTGGAAATGCTTCCAACCGCACGAGGAACTGGGGAAGAGAGTCATATCTGTCAAGAAGTGGCTTCCCTGCCGGCGTCCTAAAACTTGACCGCTCAGCCCCTTCGCGTTTCCTCCACGCAGTCCACAGGCGTGACGCGCCGCCCACACAAGGCGGACAGGCATCCTCCGCCCCGTGTAGTAGAAACTCGCACATGGCCAAGCGCGTGTCTCTCCAGATGGCAAAATTCCCCTCGCGTGACCGGAGAGCCCGTGCGGCGCTGAAGGGAGTTAACGTGCGGCCCCCGGGCCACCAAGACTGAGTGGGCTCAGCCGCAGCGCCCCACCACCACCTACTAGGAGCGGCGATAAGACCCCGGGACGCCCCAGCGCCAAGCTACTTCCGTTACAGTTTCCTTGAAGCTCCTGGCCAAGGCTCAAAACACTGCCCGTGACCTCCTCCAGCCCCAGTAGCGCCAGACTCCTGGGGGAGCACCTGGCGCCCCTAGCAGACCTGAAGGTGGATTCGCCTTGGAGATAGGTTTCAGGGAGCAAGTAACACAGTGTTTAAGGAAGTGCAATTGTCAGTTACAGAAATGTAAAACAGGATGTCGCTAGACAAAAACATTTTAACCAGAACATTCGTGTTGTCAGTAAAACAAGCGTTAACAAAAAAAGAAAAATAATGCACAGCAAGCAAAGTTCCCTTTCGAACTAGAGTTTTTTTGTTGTTTTTTGTTTTTTTTTTTAATTTTGGACTTGACCCAAGTTTTTTGGTCAAGGAAACTTCCTCTAGGGCAACCGCCCAAAAGAAAAATATCCAAAGTTCGGTTCTTCTTATCTGAAATCTCTTATGTAAAGCAGGCCAAGCCCGGTTTTAGTTCTAGATTAGCACAGTTTGTCCGAGTCCAAATGCTGTACACATGCTTCACCCCTCATTGTCTCAGAACAAATTTCAAAAATCTTTGAGAGAGCTTAGTAGTCCCCGAACTTACTCCCTGCTCCCTTGAGTCAAAAATTTATTCCCCAGTGGCCCTTTCCTGTTGCATCCCACTGTTACCATTAAAAGAACATGCCCTTCTGTCCAAATCCGGACAGTCAAGCAAACACCTTCAAATCATCTTACATTTTTAGTCTTTCTGAAGGGGAGGAAAAGAAAACAGGTTCATTTTAAGGTTTTAAAAAACTTAGTCAAACATTTCCAACTTTTTCAAGGCAGGCTTTCCTAGCAATTTGCCAAAATATACATACATTAAATTGCTTTGGGAAATAACAACCCTGACCTACTTCACCACCAGGATATTGCAAAAGAGTAAAAATTCCTGCCGGGCCAGCGACTACCGCTGAGTCAAGGCGCGGGTGCACACACACACCTCAGAAAGAGTCTACGAAAAGAAAAAAAAAAGCAAAAGTCTACGTTCCCATTAACTTTTCAAAAGGGAAATTGCCAAATCTTTTCAATAGTTCACCACAGGAGTTGAGCAACTCTAGATCATCTTAAGCAAAGTTTAGTCGACGCTGGGCACCCGCCGCCAGAGCTCGCAGCCAATTTTCTGCCTGTGGTCGCACGGTGGCCAGTGTTAAGCAAGAGCGGCTTCCGGGTAGGTCCGGTACGTCGGGCCGCACCTGAAGTCCCGGCAGCTTCAGGCCGCCTTTCTGAGAATCCAGGGCAGGGGGCGGGGAGGGGCTGAGAACTGGAGCGAGGGGGTGGAGGCGGGGGCGGGGGCTTCTCTCCTGCCCGGTGCCCGAGGGGCAAACCCGAGATAAGGGAACCACCGGACTGAGTCACCTACCAGAAGGCCTACCCCTCCCCTGGCCCGTGCCCCGCACCCCCGCCTCCTGAAGAAGCGACGAGCGGGGACAGGGGCGCGCGCGCGCGCGCGCAGGGCCTGCGGCGACACTGACGAGAAAACCCGGCCCCGGGGGTCGGGGTCGGGGCGGGTCTGCAGCGCAGGAGCTATGGGCTCGAGCGCGAGGCACTTACCGTCGTCCTGCCTCCTGTGCCTGGGCTGTCCTCCGACTCTGCTGTCAGCCCTCGCTCCCCTGGACACCCGAAAAGCGCAAACAAGTTGGAAACAAAGAAACCGAAAGCCTGGAAGCTGACGTGGTTCCCTGGCAATCGCTCTTTGTAGCGCTTCCCTGCCCATTCCCCCTCTGGTGGCCTCGGCTCGCCCGGGACATAGCTCAACTTTCACCCCACAAAATCCTAATACCCGACACTCACTGTGTTGGGCTCGGAGACCCCACTCTCCAGCCCCCAGGACGACTCCTCTGAGTTGAAATACTCTCCGGCAAGACCGCCAACCCACTGCTTCCTGCTCAGGGTTTCTGTGACTGCGTATTCTTTGAACCCAGGGTGGAGGTTTAAAGAAGTTCCAGGTGTTGTTATGAACACTGCTAGTGTTTCTTACCGATGTGTGGCAAATAAATAGCAAAAGTGAACGTGCTTTCTGTTTTAACCTATTTATTCCTGATTATTTTCTTGTGATTTTTAAAAAAAAAATTTCTTGAAATCACTTTAAACTTACAGGAAAGTTGCAAGACTAATACCAAGAGACTGACTACAGTCACGACAGCAAGAAGAGCTTGGGAGGCGCGGGGACCCTCCCAGAGTGCAGTGAAAGTTATTTGAAACAACAAATGGCCATGTAAAAAGCCTCTGGAAATGGTCCTAAGGGCAAACTGCAAAAGAGGAAACCATCTATTCAAAAAAAATCTACGAAAACTCTTCCATCAGAAAGCCAGTCTATGGTATTTGAACCGAACGTTCCTTCCTCTTCTCGGCTCAGGAAGACAGAGTCTCCTCTCTGGCCTGCTGCAACCAAGAACCCTGAGTTCCTCTCCTCACAGCTCCCGGTCAGAGGAACCGGATGTCAGCATTTCATGTCTTGCTCCTCGCTACTGGATGCCCAGGCTGGTGTGGGTGAGACGTGGAGGAATCCCTTCCTCCTTCCAGGCCCCCTTGCCTTGGGCTGGAGTGCTGAGAACCAGGAGGAGACATAAGTTCTCTTTCTTCTCCGTTACTCCCATCCTGTGTTCACCCCCAACCTTTTTTTTTTTTTTAATCTTTCCATCTTCCCAAGGTAGTTGTATTCTGGTTTTGATTAAATTAATCTTCTGTACTTATACTACTATAGTCCCGGAAACAATAGTCACGGCTGAGTTATGTACCAAAGTATGATTACTTTTACTTTCCTACACAACTTTTAGTTTACTCTGGAGTTAATAATTGTCTTGCTTTATTGGTTTTTTTTCTTTGTTGGAGAGGGTGTCTGGCTACATCCTGGGTTCAGATTCTCCGGCCTCAGCCTCTCTAGTAGGTGGGACTACAGGAGTAGGCCCACCGTGCCGGGTTTTTGTTTTGTTTGTTTTCTACCTAGTTCAATCCGAAGATCTTTGTCGGTTTTCCACATCTTATCTCAATTTATTGATACGTAGGTGTATTATTAATTTCAGGTTCTTGGAGAAGTCACTTCCAGAGCCATTGGCTGTGCTCCAATTTGGACTGGTTTACTCCTATACTCAGCTGTTATCCTAGAATCTCCCTTAACCATTAGCCTAACAATTCCCTTTATTTCCTTTTTGTGTGAGTCATCTGTATTACAGTCCCCATGTCTTTCTCTTTCATGGTTTATTCCCTCATTGTGGTTCAGCAACATCCCATGGTAGCTTCCTGAGGTTGGGTGAGAACTTGCAGTCTGCAAATGCCTTTATTACCCTCACTCTGAGCATAGACGTTCTAGGTTGGAAATTAGTTTTCTCCCAAATGTGGAAAGCATTTCCCCCACTGTCTTTTGTCTATCAGTCTTGTTATTGAGTTGTCCAAAGTCAGTTTGTTTCCTGTGTTTTTATATGTGAGCTTTTTTTCCCACTCTTCGCCATCTTTTCTTCGCCCCCAGTATTCTGAAATTTCACAATACCTTCCTCGCATCTGCAATTTGCATCCACTATGCTGGGCACTCAGGACTGTCTGTCTGGAAACTCATATCCTTCAATTCTAGGATGCTTACTTTATTTGGTTGGTGATTTCTCCCTTCCATTTTCTCTGGGATTTTTTTCTTTCTTCTTATTTTGGATATTGTGCCTTCTGAACTTGTTCTGTATTTTTTTTTCCCCTGCTTTTCTTCGCTTTTACTTTATGCTATATCTTCTGGGACATTTCCTCTATTTCCCAACCCTTCTATTGAGGTTTTTTTTTTTTTAATTTTCAGAGTAAGAATTTTTTTCTTTTTTTTTTTGAGACAGAGTCTCGCTTTGTTGCCCTGGCTAGAGTGAGTGCCGTGGCGTCAGCCTAGCTCACAGCAACCTCAAACTCCTGGGCTCAAGCAATCCTTCTGCCTCAGCCTCCCGAGTAGCTGGGACTACAGGCATGCGTCACCATGCCCGGCTAATTTTTTCTATAGATATATATTTTTAGTTGTTCAGATAATTTCTTTCTATTTTTTGGTAGAGACGGGGGTCTCACTCTTGCTCAGGCTGGTCTAGAACTCCTGACCTTGAGCGATCCACCCACCTCGGCCTCCCAGAGTGCTAGGATTACAGGCATGAGCCACCGCGCCCGGCCTCAGAGTAAGAATTATATCGAAGTTACGTCTTCATTGAAAAAATGTTGACTGTTTAAAATTGTAAAATGTAAAAGACATTCAGTAAAGCACACAAAACATAAATACACACTTTAGTGAAGAAGTATAAACCAAACATCAATATAACCACCATCCAATATGCAAAATATAAACATCTCAAAGTGTTCCTGTGTGCCCCTTCCTGGGCATAACCCACTTCCTACCTCTAAAGTTAACTATTACCTAACTTTGGGATAATTACTTCCTCGACTTTCTTTATAAATTTTACCATTTACATATACATCTCTAAATGGTATAGATTAGTTTTTTTTGTTTTTTTTTTTGAGACAGAGTCTCACTGTGTTGCCCGGGCTAGAGTGCCATGGCGTCAGTCTAGCTCACAGCAACCTCAAACTCCTGGGCTCAAGCCATCCTCCTGCCTCAGCCTTCCGAGTAGCTGGGAATACAGGCATGCGCCACCATGCCCGGCTAATTTTTTCTGTATATTTTTAGTTGTCCAATTAATTTCTTTCTAATTTTAGTAGAGACGAGGTCTCGC